CACACACACACACACACATACACACACACACACACACACACAAGCCGCTGGAAAATCCCCTTCCTCCTGTTCAGGGTCTGGAAGGAGCGCAGCAGCAAGGTCCACTGAGAGGGATTAAAGCCCCCCTCCACCCGCTGGAGCGGGGCTAAAAACAGCTCCCACCATGGTAAAAGACTCATCACTAGTCTGCTTTAATCCCATTCTGAAACACTCACACATCAGTTGCTTTATTTGTCTTCCTTGTTGACACGTTCACAACAGGTCTCAGTCCTTAAACAATAACCACAGCCTTTACTCTACCAATTGAAAATCTGACGGGCTTTTGATGGTTTCATGTCATTTGATCATCACACTTTCCACCCTGGAGGTACAAAATTTCCATCTATGCATTCTTGGCATTGTCTATTTACCCCCTGTAGGCCCAATGCTCTTCAATGCTGTTTAGCTCAGCAGTTTTTACTTTCCAAGCCTTTAAAATGACCCAAGTAGCCCAGAGATCAGTGTTTGTAACCCTGCTCCTAAAGCCACACTGTTTTACCCACATGTTCCTCTGATTCCAATCGATGGGTCAGTTTCTTTGTTTTAATCCATATAATGCTTTTAAAATCAGATTTGTTTTGTTAGCTGACTTTCTAAAGAGGTTTTCCAGTTTTCAGATGCAGCCAGATGCATCAGAAAAAGCTCCTTTTGATCAGAACTATAAAGCAGTAAGTCAGGAATACTGGTGGGAAGAACTGAATGCATGCCCCCCCTGAGTCTTCTGCATTTAGACTTAGACTTCTAAGGTTCGGGGCCTCCAGGCCACTGGAAGTCCTAATCAGAGCTGATGACGCTACTCGTTTCCATAATCAGTCCTAATCAATTGTGAGATGTAGGAAAAAATCCTGAAAAGCTCTCCGGCTGCACAGAGATGGCCTGTCCTCGTGTCTCTAACAGCTACTGGGCCTCGGGAAAACTGAACTGAGCATCTATGGAAACACATTTTGCCTGTTTGTGTACATTCTGGCAAAGGCTGTGAGCCCATCATGGAGCAGCTCCTGTAAGGGTCTCTGTTCCCGGCCCAGCTGCTCCGGAAACCCGACCCGCTTTGTGGGGACGTTAGAAAATACCCAAAAAAGCTTCATTTGGAGCAGAGCGGAGTCAGTTCTCTTCTGTTCACCTGGACCCTGAGCCTCAGTCTAAACCCGGCCCTCAACGGCCCAGCTCACATCTGAATATTTCATTTCCTGACCCAAGGGGGTTGGGGGAGGGTGCATTCAAGGAACAGCTGCAGAACATATTTCCTGGACTACAGACTAATCAGACCATGATGCATCTTTACTAGAAATGACCAGAAAGGTCGGAGCTGGGATTGGTCCAAAAGCCTCTAAGAGGAAGATGCATAACTAATAAAAACATGAGGAACCCATAGAAATAAAAAAGAAATGCTATTAGTGAATTCTGGTGGACTCCTAATGTCATGAAACAGCTAAACTTT